TAATTAAATTCCCTTATTTACAAAACAAACAAAAAAAAGAAAATTGAGAATGATTTGCTGGGACGTCAGAGCTACCTTTCTGCATGGTTTCTATGGTGCCTTAGTTATTAAGTTTTTTTAGAACAAATCAGGAAGTCCGAACTTAATGTGTGGATTTTGAATGAGAACCCTAGTGCCTCAGAAAATAATTGTCTTCTAAGAATTGTTTTACCATAAAGAAAATAAATCCCTGTTCACTAAAGGAACGTTTCTGAAGGATTGTATCTCCTGATTTAATAAACTGATCAGAATGGTGAATCAGAGACTGAAAAGAAGATAAGGGCCCCAGTGCTACCACCATCTCCTGAAGATGGTTATTTTATTATAAAGTTCAAGTAGGGAGCTGTGTCAGCAAGCAAAGGCTGCAAAGGAACAGGTAACAGGTTTATTCCTGCTGAAAAGAATAGAAAGGAAACACAGCATTTTTGTTGTGGATTCTTCTTCTGGTGTGAGAAAGACAGGATAGATGGCAAAGATTAAATAGCACAGGAGAACAGTGGAAAAGTGGAGGAGGAGGGAGAGGGGAGAGGCAGGGAGGCCATGCAGGAAGTGTAAAGTGCAGAAGGGTGAAGCAAGGTGAGAGGTCAAAACCTGCATGAGAGTAGAGGAGACTACACAAAAATAAGTCGGTCATTGAGAGAAGGGGGAAGGTGTGAACCCAGTTTCAGGATGAGTTTTGTTTCTGTTGTCTTTCTGCTGTGGGAGTTGAGAAACCCCTCTTTGAGAACACAGACGGAGAGATCAGTGTGATTATGGCCATCTGAGGTGAAATGAGAAATGATGGGCTTGGAGAAATCTTTTATCCTCACAGCCCGAACATGTTCTCTGAAGCGGTCTCCAAGTCTCCTTCTGGTTTCCCCAACGTAGATAGCTGGGCATTTTTTGCAGGAGATACAGTAAATGAGGTTGCCGGAGATACAGGATGTCGTCTGGGTGATCTGAAATTGTTCTGAGGGGCCCTGAATGAGCGTGCTGTTAGATATGTATTTGCAGGTGATGCAGAGAGCTCTGTTGCAGGGGAAGGTGCCTGGTGGGGATGATTGCCGAGTGCAGTCGAGGGAGCTGTGAACAAGAAGGTTTCATAGATTGGGTGATCAGTGATAAGAGATGATTTGGTGGTCTTGTGATCTTCTCTACTCTCATGCAGGTTTTGACTTCACACCTTTCTTCACCCCTCTCCACTTTGCACTTCCTGAGTGGCCTCTCTGCCTTCACTTTTCCAGCTTTTGTTCTCCTGTGCTATTTAATCTTTGCCGTCTACCCTGTCTTTCTCACACCTGAAGAAGGCTCCACAGCCGAAAACAATATGTTTCCTTTCTATTCTATTTTATATATATACATATAGAACCCAACATGCACACATTAGACATTGAATACAGCTCTTTTAAACATTCTTACAATGTGCAGGCCTTCATTTTAGTTATAAAAGTTTTCATTTTTCGTTTGATTTGTAAGTATCAGTGCATGGGATTGGTACCAAAAATGAGGTCCAGAGATGTAATACACAGGAAGTTGTTAAATAATTCTGCTTCTTTGTTAATTTATCTTTTGACCTATTTATCATCAGTTTTGATTGTTACGTGAAATGTGACTTTTTTAGTTGCTGTGCACATTACACAACACTATTATACATAGGCCGGCACCAGACAATTCTAATGTTAGGGTAGGTTTTATAAACATTTCGTAATTTCTATTGCTCTGGTCTTTAACCTGTGTCAGATTATGATTAAGAACTGAATGACACAGATTCTTGAGGGGAAACATACAAAAGCAACTTCTTTTTTCCCTGAAAGCAAAGCAAGCGTGGGAGGCTGAGGAAGAGGCAGAAGACAGGCAGGCTTTCGGAAAATTGATTCTGATTATTTAGCACGCAGGAAACACACAAGCCCACTCTCACATCTGGTTTGACTGGGAGGTGCACAGAATGTGTGGCTCAATACGTGAAGAGCTGGGCAGTGTGGTTTGAGCTAACAGGTACACAATGTTCCTGGAAAGCTTTAGTGACTAATACCCTGCCACCCCCACTGACCACAAGGCTTTTGGCGTACTTTCAATTGTATTTTTAGTACAGCTTCACTGTTAGCAGCTCTGCAGTTGAGGTACACTTTACTGTTCTTCTTGTTTGCAGCAGCCAAGGCATGGGTTGGTACTCAAAGCACTGTAAAAAAAATCTTCCTTTGAGAGTTTTAATCCAGAGATGTCTTTCAGATCGAAGGACCTGAAAAGTGTGTGCACAGATGCAAACCTGTAGCACACAAAGGATTTCCATTTGAGCCTATTTAAAAATCCATCTTTTGTTTCTAAGCAGCAATAACTGGCAACTTTATCATCACAACTGACATTTTTTTAACTACAAAGAGGTTATTTTAAAACCCTTATTAGCATATGTTTATCCTAATTATGTGAGCACCTCAGAAATTGATATAGTTAACTCTAGCAATGAGTGCTGAATGTAACAGCCTCACACTTACCTGATCTGTAATGGTTTTTGCTTTAATCAAAGTTTAAGAAAGACCACGAGCTGATAAAACAGTAAATTTGAATTAAGATTAAATTTAATCCTCTTGGATTACTACTGAAAGAAATGTACCTTGACAAAATACATTTTTCCAGTAATAAAAAATTCAAGGTTCAAATTCAAATTAATGTCAACAGCTTTCCATAGATATACAGTATATACTAGTAACAGTGTCATTGGGATCTTGTTTGATCACATATCCTTTATGATTATACTCATATTGTGCTTTAGAAGTATAAGCAATTTATGTTTTGTTTTTTAACCCAAAGGAAAATGATTGCTAACTAATCAATGTCACTTAAAGCACGACACAGGTAAGTTGACATTGTAATTAATTGTCAAATTGTAGCATAATAGGACTAATGACTGGAGGGTTCTAGGTTTAAAAATGCTTGTTTAAAAAAGTACCCAAATTCCTCCAGTAAATGCCCAGTTGTATAAATGGTCCTACAGGCCATTTCAAAAGAAAATTTGCTCTCAATTAAATTGACTTGATAAAATAAAGGAATAAAAAATTAAATAAAAAAATCAAAAAATCAATTGTTAAAAATCAGTTTAACAAGAGCAAAAATTCAAAATGCCAGAATGTGCATTTCCACAGCACTGATTCCATGAAATATGTAAGGTAGGCTTTCTATGTGTCACCTGCAATTTGTAATTGTTAATGTAATTGGGTTTTTTTAACTGTAGTTTGAATTTTATTTCAAAAAGCATATTCTGAGAATTTAAGCATATCTTTCAATTCAATTGAAATATGTAATAAGTGTTAAAAAAGTTGCACTTTGAAGTGCTGATGGGCAACATCTTAAGTTTATTCAAGACTTTGTGGTTATAGAAAAAAGCCCTTCCAAAACAATACAAAATTTAAGTTGATTAGTTTGACAGAAGCCTCCTCAATGTATGTTTCTTATGAACATCTGTTATGACAATCAGGTCTGAGCTGTACATTAAAACAGATGATACCAGAGTGTTATCACCATTTTTTCCAAGAATGTTTTAAACACAAATCCAGAGTGTTGAGGATCAATACAAATCTGTTATTTTTTATATCTATTTTTCAAGGAAATGAAATTCTGATGCTTTGTTTCTTCACTATGGCCTCTCTGTCTACAGCTTAACATTGTACATTAAGGACACAAAATGAGAAATTCATTTTTTGTTGTCAGTTCCTTTGCCTTATTAAACATTCAGCAACTGATCCATATTTGTGTTATATTTTTTACTGTTTAAAAAAGATTAAAATATTTTTACTCCTTCAAAAAGTGCAAAATATTTTACAATGAACCAATCTCACTGCAAAAATTCTCAATCCTGTCTTAAATGCAGACCAACCCCTTGTAATATTTTCACAAGCCTGCCTTTGGACAATCCACAGAAAACAGCCACTCCAAAACATGAGCTCCAGCTCTGCTGAGCAGGCCGATACTGCATCCACAGTGACGTGGGCACTGTGTACCAAACACCTGTGGGTGCCCAACACTGTAATTTCCAACAGAACTATCACCTTGGTAGCTGTACAAAAAGCACTGCCTGGATCATAATTAATCCAGCAGGCTCTTCATTACTGAAATGTGTTTCACACAAAAGCTTTCCAGGAAGGCTGGAAACCTTTCTCAAAACTGTATCAATAAGGAAGACTGCTGAAGCCACAGTCTCATTTACTCTATTTTACAGTTATTCCTGTTCACTTTCAAGTTTCCAAAGCCACTGTTCAATTTCTTTTGAAATGTATGAAGCAATATTATTTCTGTAAGGCACATACTTTTCCAAAATGAGTTCCCTGAAGCAAAACCATGCAAAATGTAATTTAAACTAAAATGAATTTATTTTATATTTTCTGTTCTTGTTCTTTCTGTTCTTATATTCAGCCTTCTGTAGCTCCTTGTACTACTAGATCTATATGATCCATTCTTCTTTGAAGTGATGTTGAAGCACTATTTACAGGCAAATGCTATCATCTTCTGCTAATCATTTTGGAAGATTAGGCCGCTCAATGCTGTTTTTGAGACAGCACCTTCAAACGCTGACTAACAAATTGTGCTAAAACATGCAATATTTTCAAATTGAGTCAGAGATTAGATCATATTTTCCCTTAAATATTTAAAGATTAAAGGGCTAGGTAAACACTCTCCAAACACTGATTTTCTTCCTGAGCTTCCTAGCCACGGTTGTCTTAAATATTGCCCGATTTACAACAGAAACGTGTTCTTTAGCAGTTGTGCTGAAAAACAATCATTGTAAACATGATATATTTTACATTTGTAAAACTCCTGTGAATTAAAAGTGTAGTGCACAATCAGCATGATTATGACAGGAAGGTTACAAGTGCCACCCTGTTTGTTAATGGTTACAGATGCTATGCTGTTAAAGTGAAGTACCATCTGCTCAAATGGATGTACAAAGTGTGCAGTGCACAATCCAAAGAAATATACACAGATTTGAGTTATTTCAATATAAATGTTTATCACACTTCTACAACTCTATGACAGCATTGTTCTTTTACAGTGTAAAAATAATTTTACACACAAGCTGTACAAAGTACAAAACATATCAGACAAGTTTGCTTTAGATTTTTACACCCTTTGCCTTTTTTATCTGTTAATTACGTAAGTACAGCTGCATGAAATGACCTCAGCTGCCATCATTTGAGGACCCTGTGGAGTCTACTCAATACACCATTGTTTCTAGATATTTGTAAATCGTGGAAACAGTATGCTTCAGCTCATGATCTTATTGCAAACACTGATTTATACTGAAAATAGCACAAATGTTGGCAGTGTACACATAGCATACCGATCATCCCTATCTCAGTAAACATCAGAACTACAGTATATAATAATTCTTCAGATAACGGTTTGCAACTTTATTACTGTGATTGAACATGCAAACTCCAGACAGGGGCCCCTGTCCAGAGCTGATTTAGGGTAGAGTGCTCTGAAGTGCTAATAAACACGCTACCATACCACTTCACGTCTATAGTTCTTGTAAATTTTAGTCAGCTGCCTGACTTGCAAAAAGTCCCCAAAACCAAAAGATAAAATCTGAAAAAAAAAACATTCCATTATTGCAAAGATGTTTCCTCCCCGTTACAGATGCATCATCATCCATAATCTCTCTGATTTTAAGGGAAAAAATATTTTAACGTTTAAAGCCATAAATAATTTTAGCTCCTTAGTTTTAATTTACAAAGAAAAATGACTCGCTTCAGATTCTCCATCGTGTTCAGTACAGCTGTGAAACTGAGATGACAAAATGCCACTCACTATAGCAATTATTAAAAGCACTTCACTCAGAAACAAAGGGAAAAAGGTCCTCAAACAATATTTAAGAAACTGTCTCACGCAGATGAATTTGTTGACTGTAATTGTGGGGACAGGTAGGTATGGACTATTTAAGGCCATCCTGAAAAAACTGCCCCTTTATTAATTACCCCCCGAAGGTTACTGCAGTTCAGTGATTGCTCGGCTGTAGCCAACCACATTACGTACTGTCATTTCTTCTCATACTTGAGCTCCGAAATGTGGTGGGTGTGGTGGGTACTTTTTTTAAGCAACAGTAAGGTAAGAAAGGGAAAAGAACAGGGTGCCTCTCAGCTTTCCATTGTGGCCCCAGAATTCTCCAGGTGCTTGTACTTCTTTTCACCCTGCTGCTCTGGGGTGGACAGGTGTTCCAGCTCATATTGCCCGTTTTGAGCCATCGGCCGCACCTCTGAGGACCGCGGCCCCCTCTTGTGCTCCAGAATCGCCTGCATCTGCTGGCCGGCGTACTCAGGCTTGATGGTGAGAGGCCCCTCCGGCACTTCTATGCCCAGGATATCAGACACCATGTAAGGCCTGAGCCAGCCCACCAGGGGGGTACTGCCCGGCGTGTAGTGAGTCTGTCTGTGGTAGAACAGGAGTCCGTCCACCTGGGGAAGCCATCACACATTAGCACAAAGCAGCTGAGAAAAACCGAACAGCTCCAAAACCCTGAAAGCTATGAGAATGAAGTGTTCGTGCCAATGTCCGGTTCAAGCACAGATTTCCCTAATCCAAGACAAGGCAATGGAAAATGGTCATAAAATAGTAGAAGGATTAAATTATGAACCTTATGTAAAGTATGGAAACAGCCTTTAAAGGGGAACTACGGTCCTAATTTCTCAGATGGGTTATTAAATCTTGGTAAAAAAATAAATTAATTGACTTTTACAAATGTCAAATTAAGCACAAAACTGTGAGCTTTGTGAAAGTACTGTAAGTGAACATATCGTCGCAAACCCCTGGTGTCGCCACAGGTGAACACAAGAGTTACCAAGAATTGCAGAGGGATGTGGCCCCTTCCTGCTCACCAGACACTGTCATGACTGATGTAGTGGAATGTACGAGAGAGTAAGTACAGGCTGTGTCGCAGATATTTAAAAAAAAAATATGTTCCAATGTGATCAGCATGCAGCATTAACAAGATTTTACTGGATTAAAAACGATGTATTCACAAGCCTGGTTGTTTACAATCTAATAGGACCGCTTCACCTCAGTGGATGTCCTGTTGCCTCGTTCTGAATCGCAGAGCATGGTGCTGAGCAGATCCACAAATTGTGTCTATTTTGTGATGTAAACTAAGTTCTACAAGTTACTGTGTACATTTTACTTTAATTGTGGTTTGAAAAGCACTTATCAATGCTGATTCTTTCTAGCCCCAGAATATAAAAGTAGTAGTGCAGTCCCCATTAAAGGCTGTGTGGTATGTTTAAGTTGAGAGCTAATTCTTCTCTCTTAAGAGTATTCATGGCTTTCACCACAATCAGATCTGGCTGGGGAACTAAAATCAAATGGCCTTCCCGTTATTCCTATTACATTTTTCTGGAATGAAAGAACATTCTACATAATATGATACTACACCCTTTTCCAGAACATGGCTCATAGAGAAACCAAGACAGTGATCAATTGTAGATGTCAAAGTGTGTGTGTGTGGGCTGGAAGAAACTTACAGGGTAAAATTTCCAAAACTTTTCCAATTTAAGTCCCACAAGTTTCAATTTTAACAGGATATGAGAGCAATGGCATGTATAAACCACCCAGCAAAATTAACCTCACACTGGCTGACCCATATTTGTGTTTCTCTGAACATTTTACTGGAATCTAGTTGAAGTGAATTTGAATGAAAATGTATGATTAAGAATATAGAAGTGTGTTACGGAATGAAACTCTAAAAGTAGCCTTACTTTGAAAGCATATTCCTTGGCCAGGGCTTGCTGGATTGGCTCCACTGTACACGAGACACACTGCAGACTAACAAATCGGAACTGTGGAGAAAATCATCACACAAATTATTGCACTTTCTCCTGAAATCCATCAAATCCAGTTCATTGTATGACAAGTTCGGAAAATGTGACAACACTTAGTTCAAATGGCCCTCAAAATGATTCCAGCATTCAAAAGTGTTTTTGCCATTTACATTGTAAACAAATCAAAACGTTTAATTCTTCACTCAGTGACAGAATGATTAAAACACAGTCCAATATAGCTGCTTGATATTGCCAAGCCCTGTGGTAAGGTTAAAATACAAACTTTGCAAACTCTAAAAACGTCATTATACAATTACAGATTCAGGCAGGAGTATATACTGTATACTCAGACTTCCTAAAGAACAGGTGGTATGAAACACTAACACTTCACCAGGTAGGTATGTGCCAACGATGAGATCAGGACTGTTGGCAAGATGATCTAAATGCGGGAAACATGACAGGCTGAGCCTCACCTATGATCCAGGCGCCGCGAGTTCGGGCCCGGGGCACAGTCACTAGCCGACTGTGATTAGGATGCCCAAGTCCAGCAAGATAAGCTGGTTCAGAGTGGGGCGGGATTCGTCAACCCTTGTGGCTCCCTGGACACTTGTCAGTGAGGGACACCCCTACCCTCCTGTTGGCTCTCTCTCGCATCAGAAGGCACACTCGTCTCCATTTGGTGGTTTGAACCAAATCTTTGAGCTGACGTTGCCATTAAATGCGACCGAGAATACTGCAATTGGCACGTCGCTCCACCTGCCGTCGGGGGTGGGGTGGGGGGAGGAGAACAAAGTACTGTATCCAATTCATAGAAGGGGATTTTTTGGAGGCATGGGAAATTTGGCCAGAACACAGGACTTTTCGAGAAACACCCCGGGGTTTTTAATGATCACAGAGAGTCATGACTTCGGTTTTACATCTCATCCGAAGGACGGCGCTTGTTTATGGTATAGTGTCCCCATCACTATACTGGGGCATTAAGACCCACATAGACCGCAGGGTGAGCGCCCCCTGCTGGCCCCAATAACACCTCTTCCAGCAGCAGCCTTAGTTTTTCCCAGGAGGTTTCCCATCCAGGTACTGACCAGGCTCACACCTGCTGAGCTTCAGTGGGCTGCCAGTTGTGAGTTGCAGGGTGACATGACTGCTGGCGTACCCTCCTGTTGGCACTGACTCTCTGGTATAGGGCTGTGGGCACGGAGGAGCGCTTAGAGACGAGTGGCTCGGAGGTGGGCGGGTTGCAGGAGTCTGCCTCCACTTCCTCGCTCTCCCTGGTGTGAGGCTCAGGGAAGGAGGGGGTTCTTGGCCATAAGACGAGATGCAAAACGTCACTACTGGCGAATCCGAAACTGGGTGAGTGTAATTTAAAAAATGGCAAGTATAAACTTGAAAAGAATAAATAAATGAGGGCGTTCAAAGAAATGGTGCTTACTGGATTTCGCTTCGTGATATCCGTCAGGTTTTCGGTTTCCTGGACCTTAGACTGCAGCCAGAAGAACCGGAATTCAGTCTGGATGTAAAGCAATAAACGGAAAAGAAAAGGAATTTCTCCAATACATTGAACATGCCAATGCAAACAATAGCTAATGATTTCTGAATTTAGCCAGTTCTCGAGAATTTGAGTTTAGCACATGATAACATTTTTCCTGAACACTTAGCACTAGTGCTGCAATGAACACTGCCTCCCCTTGTTCTGAAGTTTGTAATAGCTATTAGTGTTCTGAAAAATAATAAAAGCTCTAATATTCACTGCACCTCATTCACAGTAGCTTAAGCCCGTCACTTCCTGACTCTACCCTTTCTTACTTCATCAGCTCCTATGAGCATATCTCAGGGAAAGAGTTCCCAGTCCCAGACCTTAGAGCTTTAATACAGCAGTTTTGTTTTAGTCTCTTTAAATCATTAAAAGCTTAAGGTCACTGAGATAGGATGCAATCTGGGCAAACTTTGGTGGAATTTAACATTCCTCTCAAGTGAAGAACCATTTCAAACTGCAGGAAACGTAGAAGACCTGCTGGGCTTCCTGAAGTGGAGGTTCACCACTTTAGTACTCATGCAATAAGCATTTCTCATTTCCATCTGCTGAAATGTTCTCTACGATCACATTCAAAACCATTCAATTAAATATCTTTTGTATAGCAGTCAAAGCAAATGGACAAGCAATTCAATCTATTCAGTCAGGGGCAGTCAGGGGCAGTTAGGGGCAGTCAGGGGCAGTCAGGGGCAGTCAGGGGCAGTCAGGGGCAGTCAAACAGCTTGAGCCACAGCAAGTCTCTGCTGCAGCTACTCCTGACAAAGGTGCTGGAGTGGAAAGGAGGGACAAGCGGAATACAGCTGTGGGAGTGGGAATTTCTTGTGGGGTTGCCTCGATCTTCCGCTCAGAAACAGATGTGAAGTATTACATGACCCCGAGGATAAATCCTCCTCCAGATGGTGATTTAATCCACAGTGGCAGATCCATGACAATCCATACCTGACAGTCATACACAGGATGACCTCTCCAGCACATGACATCCAAAATGTAGAACGTCCTGTCCACCTCGCTGAAAATGCAGTCAAGGATAGTATAATCTAAACAAATCAGAGACAAGCAAAACATAAATCGTGGGATAAAGACAAGTGCGACACGAAATTGAAGGCCTTTTCAATAAGATCAACAAATTATTTCGTAAAAAATTAAATGTGCAGAGGACTTTAAGGTGTTCAAGTGTGAAGATCTCTAGGACAATTTTGACAAACTAAGACCTATGCAAATGTAACAAGACTAAACCACAATCAGTGGGTAACAGTAATATTCTTCTCTCATCTACCACTTCCATACTGGTAGCTTTGAGAAAAATAAAGGAAAACTCCTTGTAACAGCTGCAGAATCCTGCTGAAGCTCCAGTACCTTTTCCTACAGTTGAGTACTGCCTGTTGCCTCCTGGTAACAAAGATGGAAATCGATTTACACAGTAGCCACTTTTTGTATAAGCTGCAGTTGACCCCTGAAATACAGATTGTGAACAAGTCAACAACAGCAGTATGTCACAGATATTGTATTTCACTGAAAATGGGAACTACAGACAATCAAAAATGAATGTGAGAAACAATAAATACAAAGCCCTTTAAAACAATGAAGTTAGTCTATGGGACGTTTTGAAGCCATAAATAAAAGCAATAAAAGACTCAAAATCAGTTAGTTCAATGTTCACACAATTTGTTTCTGCTTTTCTAAATCAGACCGAGATCAAGATTTTTCAGCCACAAGATTAAAAAGGACTTTCTCAGCTTATAGCAGGACACATTCTACGATCCATACATTTTCAACTACAGTAGAAGAGAGTGAACTGTGAAGACACAAGAATTTCCCTAAACACTCTACACTTTGAAAGACCAGAGCATGAGAATCATATTCCAATTGTGTTTTAAGTATTTTAATAACTCCAACTTAATTTTATATAAAGGTAAAGACGCTCTTATCACCTGGGAAGCCAAAAAGGGTTTCGAACTCAGAACCCACAAAGTAAATGTAGAGGTATATCCCCTTGGCTTAAGTGTTTTTAGTGCTAACCTTGCCTATACCAGTAATGTTAATTTCAGTTGACATTGATTAACAATGGCTACTGAATCATACTGTCACAAACAATTCTGAAGCAGATCATTATTAAGCAATTATCATTATCAATTACTGAGCTAATTTTACAAATCCACCAAACTTGACAAGTCCCTAAAGTAAAAGTAAAAGAATATGTTCAGGTGGGTAGCTGCGTCAGCAGGCGTAGGCTGCAAAGGAACAAGTAACAGGTTTATTCCATGCTGAAAAGAGAAGAAAGAAAACAACATTTCTGCCATGGAGCTTTCTATAGGAGTCACTGAAATGTTGTGTTTTCTTTCTTCTCTTTTCAGTATGGAATAAACCTATTACTTGTTCCTTTGCAATGCAAGAATATGTTCATTTAAATTATTCCAAGAAGATGGAGCTAATTTGCCTGCTATCAATATCACTAGTCCCTCTACCCACCCCTGATAAAACCACCTTAATGCTGAATTCCTCTTGTGAATATAAAATAAAGTGCAATTAAACGGCTTCTTACCTTGGAGGCTACCACAAGAGATCTCTTTCCAACAGGACAAACCACCATTAGCCATTCAGTGGCCAAGTCTGAAGGGATGTCTACCAACCACTCTGACAGCATGAGCTGAGGAAAAGGAAATGAAGACAATAATAACAGATAGTCCTATGTATTACATTACTAAACTGTAGTTATGAACACTAAGTAAAATTAGAATGTATTTATATATGCATGTGAAATTGAAATATAAATATTAAATCAAAGTGAAATAACAGAATTGGATCATTATTTTTTTTTGGGTTACTGCTGCTCCCTCTCGTGGCCAAAAGGAAGAATTATAAAGGAAAAAATACACTAATCAAATTCTCTCTGGTCCCATACCGTTTAATAATTAAGAAAAACATCCTCTCTCCCAAATTGATATAATACTAACAAAGCTTCTAAAAAAATCACCGAATGCTTGGTTCCTCAACTGCCAGAACTTTTGGTAAAAATAATCCTGATCTGATCTCTAAAATTGTATTATTTTTTTTTTGCTTTTTTAAAATGGTCTTATCCAACACCAGGAAATACAACATATACATTAAATCACAAATTCAAATACAATTCCCTATCTTATTATACAAAATGTATGAGCTTTACATTTGACCTGAGATGACCAGGTTTACAGTTGGCAGCGAAGCTTGAGGTCACCTAATCCTGGATCAGTGCAATTGTGCTGCAGGACATGTCAAGACACTGACCTGATTGGCGTAGTGCCTGGGCAACTTCCTCTTCTCCTCTGTCTCCATGCTTTCTACCTCAGTCTCCCCCTCCTGCTTCTCGCCCTCCGGCTCATCATCGCTGTCCGCTCCTGTCCAGTCTCCCTCTGCCAGGCGACGGGCATGGTTCACGTAATTCAGCCTCTTCCTGCAAACCACCGAGGAAACGTGAAGAGGGTAAGTATCGACAGCTCCAGAGAACATTCATGAGAATGTGACAAAGAGAACGCTAATTCAAATTATTAATCACTATACAAACAATATTATTTATATAAGTATACATACGGATTATTATAATCGACCTCCAATGTGTGGTAGAGTAAAGAAGCCTATTGAAAGATGAGGATTATTAGGAGGCTGATTAAGTTCAGGAAACTGGGGTTCACCCCCCTACTCTTTTCGAGAAATGCCCTGGGATTTTTAATGACCGCACAGTCAGGACCTCGGTTTTATGTCTCATTTGAAGGATGGCTCCTTTTTTTTTTACAATATAGTGTCGCCAAAACAATACTGGGGCATTAGGGCCGCGGGTGAGCACCCCCTACTGGTTCCACTAACACCTCTTCCAGCAGGAAATATAACTTTACCAGGAGGTCTTCTAGTCAGGCCTGGCCAGGTTCACACCTGCTTATCTACAGAGGGCTGCCAGCTGCGATTTGTAGGAAAATACACCTGCGGGCAATTGAGATGAGAAACAGGGAAGCAATTTGGAGAAGCCCTGTAACCTGCAGGTCTATGAGAGCTGGACAGAAGTCAGAACACCCGGTGAAAACTCCCATGAATGTGGGGAGAGCATCCAAACTCCACACAGGCAGATGCCCAATGAAGTCAAAGGATGCCCTGGGGCTGGGAAGAAACAGCCAAGAGCACCACACACCACACACTGCACCCCTCCTAAACTGCAGTAATGATTCTGACGTTATCAGTCAGCTCTCCGGCATGGAGACTCAATAAGACTGGTACAAAGAAGCAGCTGTTTTTCTCTATAAGTGCCACACAACACTTCTTGCAGCAAAACCTTGAGAAAAGAAGACATTCATACTTTTCCCCTCCATGACAAAGTTATCCTATGGTGAACATGTCCAATTTCAAACTTAAATTAAAGTTTGTTACAATTAAATTAATATTTGCATTATTTGACAAATGTTGAAAGTGCAACAACAGGTCTAGTGGTGCACTGGAAGTGGCGTCGCATCTACTGTACTGCGCTGCAGTAGGAGACTTCACATGCAGCTGGAGGGTTAGGGAAACTTCCCTTTGGTCCTGGGAACAATCTGGCTGAAGACGCATGCTGAAGTGCTGACCTGTACCTACTGTAGGTCGTCACTCACGTTTTCTGCAGCTCCAGAAACCTGCGGCGTCTCTCGCTCTGCTCCAGCACGCTGTACTTGCTCTTGTACTGGGCCAGTCGCGGGTGGGGCGCTGCCGTACTGTTGGGGTCCTGAGACACCGAAAAACTGGCACTCAAAGCCTGAGTAAGGTCATCCATAATGCTCCTGAAAATTATATAGAATAAGTGTCTGTTAATTATATAATATATACCTCCAGACATTAAAAAATGCAATACTACTAGTTCCAATTCTCGATTGTTGTGTTTAAAGCTTCCCATTATATATGTAAATAGGAAAAAACACCTTTTCACAGACCTTTAAATGATCTGTGCTGTTAACAACGATGAAACTGTCAAGACACGGGGATCTCAAAGCACAATTGCAGTGGAAGGAAATGATCAGCTAACTGATATCATCGCCCCACGATCTGTCCGCAAATTTTTCGATGCACGTACGTTACCTTAAGATCTTTTTAGATATCTACAAAGCCGGAAAACAAACCATAACTGTTTACCTATTCAAAAAGTCTGGAAACCGAGACACTACTGCTTACTGTCGACGGCTAAAGACGTCATCAGAAGGGGACGCTCAGGCCGAGCTCGCGACACTTTTCTCCTAGAGACGGCAGCACTGAGTCTGCGCAAGACAATGGCGTCCTATCGACAAAGCCGGAGTGCAGCATGTACTGTATCAGGAAATGTGATTAAAACAGATTTGGGGTCAGAAATGAATGTTTTACTGTATACGTTTTTTTTTAAATAAAACAGTCATCTAACAGTAAACTCAATATATATATATATGCAATTCCAAACAATGTAGTCTTGGAAAGAAATTGCGGTCCGATTTGCAACATTAACATTTCTCATAATATTGGAGTCCTTTTTCTCGGACGTGGCAAGAAATTGTGCGCTCATTCTCTTGTGTAACTTGTAGATATTTCCTTTGTGTGTCTCGCAATAGTACACAGTACATACCTTTTGTCTATACCATTTCACACTTACAATTGGGGATATTTAGTCAGATCACGCGAAAATGTCGTTTCACAGCAACATTATTACTGATTTATTATTATTTTCATTAGCAGGCATTTTAGTTGTTAATAATAATAATAATAATAATAGCTTACACTTATATCGTGTTTTTCTGGCCACCCCACTCAAAGCGCTTTACAGGTAATGGGGATCCCCTCCACCATCACCAGTGTGCAGCCCCACCTGGATGATGTGATGGCAGCCATAGTGCGCCAGAACGCTCCCCACACATCAGCTATTATTTGGGAGGAGAGCAGAGTGATGAAGCCAGTTCAGAGATGGGGATTATTAGGAGGTCATGATTGGTAACGGGCACTCCGGCTGTGCTGACCCCTGCGAAATCCCAACATTTCTGGTAGTGGGAGACTGCGTTCGCGCTCTCCCCTGATGTGCTTGGTCCAATATCAAATACGGAAGAGTTACGACACCACGAATTACGTGGTTGCGATAGGATCCCAGTTTGAAAGGAGTCGATGACACTGCTAGTTCTCTGTTTCTTTTAGTTATAGGTCCGGAGAAGCATTTCAAGCTAGTTCCACTACTCCTTCCGGACAGTCAGGACAAAAGGACAGTGGGTCTTTTTGCTGTAGTTTGCATTATTTAGGATAATTATCGAGGTTAGCCTTTATTTGGTCATGGGGGGCCTCGGTACTGTATGCTAATTCTAAAGACAGTTTCACCTGTTTTCTGATTGCTAGGTTCTGTACCAGTGCAGAAACGTCAAATAGTGAATGGCTGTACCTCTATTGTATCCGTGCTCAATGAATGAAATCAGTAATAAATTAATATATGTATAGTTATACGGGGAAAAAAGATTGGTAAAGGCCAATGGGACATTTGGCCAGGACACCAGGGTAATACCCCTACTCCTTTCGAGAAAGTCAGGACCTCGGGTTTATGTATCGTCCGAAGGATGGCGTCTTTTAATTTTCCCGTCACTATACTGGGGCATTTGGACTTACACAGACCGCAGGGTGAGCACCCCCCTACGGGGGAGGTCTCGCATCCAGGTACTGACCAGGCTCACACCTGCATCACCACCTGTATCACGACACTTGTCGGGTTAAACCGAAGAGTGCAGTGGATACTTTTAAATTGTATATCCCGAAATATTTTACTTATATTATTCGTCTACATTAAATCCAGACATTCACAATAGTTTCTGTATGGAAATGTATAAATGCTTTGAGAAGCCTCCTTTAAAGGCGCTATATAAAATAAGGTTATTATTGAATACAATTAATTTTCTGTTGAAATTAAAAGTTTACGTCTCTAACTAGGTGGCGCTGTCAGGGGAATAAAGACTAGATCCTGTTGCAAATACTCTTCTTGTCAGTCACCGCTCCTCAGTTGTTTTGAATTAGCGTAGTACCTATTGAAAGCAGCGTGGCTTGGTGAAGCGAAATTTGTACAGATTGTTTTGTGCACAATTGATGCAGCCTCAGCGCTGACCTGTGTACGTTTTCTGCGAACACTTAATATATAACACTTTCCCAGATATTCCCATTTTTTATTTATACTATGGTTTTGCTAACTGCATTTTTTGTAGATGTAGCGTGGACACCTTTGTACAGGAGCAGATGTTCAGCTCCGGACCCGACCATGGCCTCCTAATAATCCCCCTCTATGAACTGGCTTCATTACTCTGCTCTCCTCTCCACTGAGAGCTGGTGTGTGGGGAGCATTCTAGCGCACTATGGCTGCCGTCGCATCATCCAGGTGGGGCTGCACACTGGTGGTGGTGGAGGGGATCCCCATTACCTGTACAGCACTTTGAGTGCTTTAAAAGCACCCAAAAGTGCTATATACGTGTAAGGAATTATTATTATTATTTATCTACCTTCTAGTGCCATTTTCAGCACTTAAATGTGTCATGAAAAGGCATTATACTGACCGTAGTGTTTCTGTCATTCAGTTACAGTATATTTTGCATATAATAAAATATCTAAATTGAAATTGTGTTTTATGTGTAATATTCCTAATCGTGTGATTATGTCCTTGTAATTACAATTTCCGAAAGCATTTCATAAAAATATTTGCATTTCAGGGAAAACACAAGCACATGAACCGCATCATTCGGGAGTTACGCACTCATCACCAGATGGCGCTGCTGGGCGGAATGAGAGTCCGATGCAGTTTCATGCACACTTCTTCGTCACCCGCTTTGCGCGATTGATGTTATTAGAGAGCTGTAAGGAGGAGGCCTGCTTTCTATATCGAACCTTTGTCAGTTTATATAGGGGCACTGTATTGTCACATAAGGGTATGTACCCTATCTGAGGCATTTAATCTAACCTCAAAATGTATGAACACACAGAGGTTGACATACAAAAAACTTTTTTCTGTGCTTATCTTTCTATTTCTAGAATCTGGTAAAAACCGGGATTGCTAATGTTATACTAGGAAGAACATAGTATACTAACAGCATATTGGATTTATACTTTATAGATGTTATCCATGTACATAATTCAGTAATGTAGCTTGCTGAACATATTTTGTCCATATATTTTTCTGTGTAAGACCTCCCAGATTTATAGGGTAAGCAATCAGTTTATTGGCCATATACAATTTCGTGTATTAGGAATTTGTCTTTTTGCATACGCCAAGTTGGTCTCCATGAGTACAAAGGGCCTTGCTCAGGGGCCCAACAGAGTAGGATTTCTCTGCCAGCGATGGGATACGAACTGGCAACCTTCCAGCCACAGGCGCAGATCCTGAGCCACAGAGCCACCTCTGCTGACCACAAGCCTGCTCCACCCCCAGTTGACACGTAATACTGCCCGTTAGGATTCCAATTCTTTTGTTATTAAGATGTCTCTATTTTGCACTTCCACCTGTCCATTTTTTAATGCTTCTTCCAATTCAGTGTTGCCGGGAGCTGCAGCCTTTCTCTGCAAGCAACAGGCACAAGGCAGGGTATAGCCCAGATGGGAGGCCGGTCTGTCACAGGGCTTATACGCAAACAACAGGGCCAGTTTTGGTATAAGCCAATTAACATGCCAGTTTGTTTTTGGACTGGGGAGGAAACCGGAGCATCCTGAGAAAACAAGCACACCGGGGAAGAACAAAAAAATTAAATACAGAAAGCGCCAGAATTGCACCCTGGAGCCCAGCACTACAAGGCAGTAATGCTAACCACTGCGCCACTGTGCCGCCCGTTCTGCATGTATCACAGTGATTGGATTTGTTAATGAGGAACAGAGATGTAGCAAATTCTTTCTATAAGTCATAGTTAGATGTGTAGGCTAAAGCACATTAGCTCAATTATCTTCTCATGTACTACAAAGCATTCAGGAAGAGGCCAGAATATTCTCGTTCTAAAGTGCTGATGGGTCCATGAGATTATAAAACTGAGAAAGGTCATTTATCATAAACCTGCAGATACATTCTGAAATGCTTGACCAAACAGTTGTAATTTCTCTTCTTTTTTGTGGGTCCCAGCTGACTTGATTTATTGCATCACCCCTACAACTTAACCACATGTAAGACAATTCCATAATCTTGCAAAGATGTAAGCCTTGAGTCTGTATTTGTGACAGTAGAAGAGGAGAGAAGAGAACTGCCCTCTGTATCCAGACCGACACCTGAGCAACTTGAGTGTATTCACTGAGACTCATATGAGTCTGATCCTCTGTCTTCCACAGAGACCGTTCCTCATGACCCCACATGTCATGTACATAAGTGAGCCGCTGATGAACGTTATGTATTGGAGAGGTTGTCACGAGAGCCAGTTCTGACTCCCCCGAAATGCGTTGTTTAAAGACCCTATGTGTGACGTTATAATCCAGAAGTGTCTGGAGAAGCACATCAGGGAAGAGACAGCAAGGTTAGGGCGGGTCGATGGTGGTGATCCGGTGCACAAGGAAAGGCCGAGGCGATAAATCCAGTAAAGTCCCGAGGGATAATTAAAGCACAGTCCAATGTCCATTGCCGGGAGGTCCATCCGAGACGAACACAGGAACAGGGAAGTAGGAACACGGAAGGTTAAAACCCTAACGGGGCAAAGTGCTCCGAGCCCCAGACTCAGAGACTCAGAGGTCTGGGGTTAAGGCCTTGCCCTCGGACAAGGGAAAGGATGAGACACAGGTGAAACTACTAAACTAAGATCAATACAGAAAAGGGTAGGAGTGCTCTCTAGAGGAGGGGTAACGACCATGACAGAGGTGGGTCAAAGTCTTCCAGGTTGTGGAGACCTAAGGGAGGTGTATCAGGTGAACTAACACAGACAATTGACTACAATGGAAGATCAAGAAAATGTACACTGTATTACTGAGTTGTGTTCTGCTAGTTTAAAGTATCATTATGGTTGATTCTCTTCTGTTTTAATTATAGGGAAAAAAAATGCAGGAATGTTGATATGATTTCAAAACTCCTGTGTGATAAAAAAGCTTATAACTCAATCAAATGCAAGGTTACTGAGCCAAATGATGTGTATTTTCTTCTCAGGTTTGGTGCCCAGTGAAATGTGCATGATAATGAGCCAAATGCTTACATACAGGACAAATTGTGTAATGTACATGAATGCAAGAAAAAACATAACAAGAAAAGAGGAATCCAAAAGAGCCAGATTTCGCTTCAGGTTGTTAACACAACTCTACTTCAGCTGGTTGATCATGCTAGAAGAAATTCTATGATAAAATACATTTATTTTCCGAATCTGAGTCATTTGTCATTGCTTAACTTCATTTGCATCCGTTTTTGGAGTAAACATTATTATTTAGCCACGAATAACTCTGATAATTGACTTTTAGTCTCAGTTGTCCTGCTAATAATAGTTAACCTAGAAGCTTGAGAGGACTGGTATACATTGCTTTTCTGTTTAGGTGGGTGGATGAGGGAATGCAGAGAGGCTGCTTGTGTTGTGTGTGCTGTGATGGACTGCAGGCAGAGGTGTTGAGTTTCTCATTTAATATTCTTGCAGTTAACTGAGCTCCCGGCTGACGAGTGACTGCTGTTCCCAGTGGCATCAATTATGAATGAGAAGGTTATTGTTCATCTGTGGCTGACAGTAACACAGGACTGAAGGCCTACGAAGGGGGGTCCTTTCACTGACATTGCTCAAGTTTCAGGTCCTGTAGGCTGCATGCAGACACTAGAAATAGATGACTCCTGTGTCACATTGAAGGGCCTGATTGTCTCATCCCTTCTGTCAAGGAGATGTGGTTGTGCCCTGTCTGCTCTGGCCGTTCGTTCACTTCCTTTTTGTGTAAAACAATCTTCCAAGCAAGCTGTCCAAAGTTAAAGACAGAAACCCCAGTGAGAGACAGGCGCAGCTGAAAGTGAACCAGCGATGGAAGTTGGAGCACAGCAATACATACATATTTAAAGAGCCTCTAATTAAAAGCTTCCAGATTTTCAGCTCTTTCACTTTTGTTGTTTTATGTTGTTTTCATTTGCAATTTTAGGAGCACAAAAACTTGCATGTCCTCAAGGCACTCTCAGAATATTCGGCAAACCCACTGAGCGATAACTGGCCATCACAAGTCCTCCAAAACATAAGTTATCATAATGGGAATTCTGGGGACACAAACGAACAGAGCACCAATAAGACTCAGCTGCAGAACCTCTGCCTCAACAATTTTTACACAATCCTTGATTTTCATTTCCAAAGAACAACAATATAATGATAACGTGAGTGTAGAATTGTCATTTTCTGCAGCTGAGTGAAAATCAGAAGAAGATATTTTGCATGCATCTTTGGTTTAAGAGCATGAAGAGTATTATAGGAATAAAATTTCAGAGGGAGCTGGGAGAAATAAATGAATGAAGTAAGGTTCCAGATTCATTTTCTGGAAAAAAGACCAGAACAAGAATGAGATAGTGGCAGAAGGAGATGGTGTTCCCAAACTCCTGTCAGCTTCACAGCAAAGATTCATGTCCCTGCTGCGTGAGATGGAGAACTGCCTCAAACAGACCCTGGTCTCCTCTCCTCTCCCACACGGGCTCTCTCCCTTCCCAATGTTTCCTACAGAGCCAGGTGGCACATGAAGGCATGCTGGCACTGAAACCTGAGGCTACAGCCTTTGTGCTTCCAGCAACAACTCAGACACCAGAGGAGGGAGTAAGAGAGAGGTAGAGAGAGCGAAAGTCCTTCATCACAGACAGTGATCTGATGCTGTTGTTGCTGCACATCGCCAGCCTAAAAGGTAAAACTTTCAGTGGGTAGTTTGGAGATACAAATTTGAGGTCAATTCCCAGTAGAGACAGACAAAGGAAAATTATGCTGTGATCAGAAAGAAGATTCATCCTGGGCTGTAAGTATGTCATCTTTCTTGGCAGTTATGATTGCCTAGTTTGATGAGTGTACAAAATTAGTTGAGTAATATTCAGAAAACAGGTGCCTTTTGGTATTATGACTCAGCTAATAACAAGTACTGACTTTGTTTTAACTGATGCAAAACATTTCTGAGAGGAAATTATGGATTTAAAATAAATTGACTGATTTTTAATCTTGAAAGCAAAGTAAAACATTTAACACCAATGTTCTGTGTGCTTGTCAGCTTATCTCTTGAATAATAAATAGCTGATCAGATAATCAAGTGTTGTTAACAGCACATGAAATACTGTACTAGTGATTGTTAACACAAGGAGTTGTATTGTGTTTTTTCTTTTACACAAGGAAGTTGTTGGTTTGTAGCAGTAAAAGCACTGAAAATCAAATTGAATTGCATTAATGCTCTTGTTATGAAACATTTTAATGTGCTGTATGTCTGTGTATCTGGAATGGGAGTTAACATATTATAATGCTGTCTGCTCACTGTGCAACAGAACCCTGTATTCCTTGTGTGCGTCTCAGTCAGCTCCTGGAGGAAATGCGTTCCAGGTGGAGTGTAGGGGCAGGAATGTGACATTCCCTGGAGTGACCTACAGGTGAAGGTGTTGGGAGATCTCGGAGCAGCATGGCTGTGCTTCTTGTGGTGTTGGTGGTCGTCCTCGTCAGAGCCCCAAAGGCTTGCGAAGGTGAGGAAGCCAGTGGGTGTTGCTCTTTCTTTGGTTCATTGGCTGCCTAAGGCTTTGACATGCTTGGAATAAGAAACATTTAGGAGGAATGCTTTACTAACAGTGTATCTTCCCAGAGCCATTAATATATGTGTCTCGCACGGTAACAGTTACTTTCTGTTTGGAGGGACAAATTTCCAAGTTTGGACAATTCTCATCCCCTCTGATAGCTGGTGTGTGGTGAGCATACTGGTGCACTTTGGGTGCCGTTACATCATCCATGTGGGGGGTACACATTGGTGGAGGCGAGTCTCCACTGCTTGTGAAGCACTTGGAGTGGAGTGTCCAAAAAAGCTCTATGTAAGTATCATTATTCATCTCTTCTGCAGGCGAGAAAGCAGTCCAGCCAGCAGGCGTGCTGAAGGAACTGGTGTCACTCTGGCGGAGAGGGGGAGTGTGGGACCCTCGGAGAGAGCAACCCCCACCGGCCAGGACGAAAGGGCAGCGGGTCCAAACGGTGGTCAGAAACATCATGGGGGGTCTCCAGACCTTGGGCATCCTGCCCAGGAAGGGTGTGAGCCTGCCGTCCCTCCTCTCCGCCTCCAGCAAAACTCTGGACAGGAACCGTCTCTCGGGATTCCTGTACAACATTTCGATGTACCTGCAGGGGGCGGGCGGAGAGCCGGGGGCTGATCCCTACCCCTCTGATCAGGAGCAGTTCTGGGAGAATGTGTTCTACTCCCTCATGCAGCCAGAAGGGGGCGCAACGTTTGGACAGTGGGAGGGGAAAGTGCCACCCAGACCCAGTTTCAGGGTCCGTGATCTCTTCCTGTCCGTAAGGGGCAGTCGGCACTGGGATGGGCTGCTGGGGCTGATTCAGACCATATTAAGCCTTTCTGAGAGGCAGCCACAGTGGCGCTTGCTCAGCTTTCTCAAGCAGAACTGGGAGACCATCAGTGCCCTGCTGGAGACCATCCTCCACGTGCTTGTTAGCGGAACGTACGGGCAGGCCAGCGCAGGAATCCAGGGATTCATTTGCCTGTTAAAGGGAAGCAACGACTGCGGTTTCGACCTTGGCTGGCTGCAACAGCTCATCAGCTTTCTGGAGGCCCGGAACTGGAGGCCGGTTGTCAATTTCCATCCAGGAGTGGCGAACGGGGGTCAGCAAGGGGGCGATCCTCCCTTGGGGCGCCTCAGGCCTTTCAGTATGCTCCCCGGGGCCTTCCAAGATGAGAATCTGTTCACCAACCAGACACAGTCCAGTTCGCCCAGTCCCAGCGGGCTGAGCTCAGTGCAGACACTCCTCCTCCAAGCGCTATCAAGGCCCAGTTCGGGACAAAGAACAGGGCAATCTCAGGAGCCAGGCCCAGTCCTGCTCCAGGGATTGGATAATCTCCGACACGGGCTTCTACACCGGCTGGGCAGCAGTGTGTATGGCAGCCTACGGAGGAAGGTGTCCAGGGTGACTGGGGCATTGCTGGAGGACGTGTCCAGTGTGGTTGGCATGCCACAGGTGGACCGCGAGGGCAAGTGCTCAGTGGGCAAGTCCTTTGTTCTGTTCTTAGCTTGTGTGGCTTAGCTCTATCGAAATTAACAAGATGCATCATAAGAGGCATGAATTCCCCTGAGCATTCTGTTCAAATAGCAGGGGGAATTCATTTAATGCCTGTGTTTAATAGAATTAAATATGGCCTCAAGACTGTTATCCCATTGCTTTATGCAGATGTTGCTCTTGTCACACATTAAGCCCCGGAAATTAATGAGAAAGGAAAATCAATTTCATCTCTTTGGATTGTTAGATCCGCTTTGACTAGCAGAGTTATTGTGTGATCAATAAGAAGAAATTCTATTCCACGGCTCAACTAATCTCTGATTCATTTTCAGCAGGGTCAGAAACACTATACCCCTTCTATTGTGTGTATAGCTATGCGGTTACTTTGACTCCAATTGTTGTTTTACAAATTGGAGTCGCACTTCATTTTTCCACTCTTTGGCTTTTAGCCTTAACTTGCTCCAGGTCATGCATGTTCGGCTCTAGTTCACGCAATGTCGTTGGCTGTTAACGTAAAAAAATGTTTGTGTTTTTCAGGTGACCTAAGACAGCTTATTCTGTGGTAAGTTTTAAGTTTTAACTTGCTGTAGTAGAGGGAAGGTTGTGGTTGTCCACTAAGGGATGATTTTCCTGAAGGTACAAAACTGTTTTGTTTTGTTATCTATAAAAAAAACATTTAAAACTATTTTTAAAAAAGCTCAAAATGTTCCTACAGTCCTACAGAAGTAGTTCAGTATAGTTCAGTATAGAATGCAAACCTGGTTTAGATGTGTAGCTCAAGGTTTCCTTTGTGATGTTTTGTGATGATGGTGCCCTGAGTGTCTGCCCCCTTGTCTGTTTTGTACAGGGGCATCAGGCACAACCTCACCTGGAACACAAAGGATCTGGGTTTCAGTTCTCAGTATCCTCCCAGCAGGCCTTATCTCATGCCCTGCAGCTCTTCCAAGGAGAGGGGCACAGTCAGGAGCTTCAGCCGGCCAGCAGGTCCACGCAGGTCCAGGGCCGTACCGCTCAGCCCAGAGCCCCAAAACAATGACCAAGACCAGGCGGCGGCTCACTACCCCCCACCCACAGAGATCCTAGAGGCAGCCTGTAACGAGTCCATCCCTGGGCTGACGGGAGTGTCGAACTTCACGGTCTTCCTCTACTGTAACCTCTTCGACGGAACCGAGGAAGGTTTGGACACGCATGCAGGCCATGAGGGGCTGGACCTGCGTGCCACCTGCTCAGACGCTGCTTGGTACCTCTCGGCCGCCGAGGCAGACTTCCTGTGGGTTCACGTGTGCAGTGAGTTCTTTGCCCATGAGTTTAACAACACAGTCTGTGCCAACTCCTCCTTCTGGGTGGAACGTGCCCACCAGGTAAGAAGATACATCCCCTGTCAATGAAAATACCTACTACACTGATTTTGTATTGTATTTGTATTTGTATCTACGCCTTTTGTATTGATTGCCAAACTTCACTGAAATGCAATATACTGGGAATATGTCATATATTATGATGATGGAAGTCACAAGGAAGTAGCTCAAAGTTAATCAATAACTTATTTTCTACCTGACAAATGTTACCAATAACAACTTCTTCTGTTTGTGTTTTGTCAGGCGGCTGTGACAAAGGAGTACCTCTTTCTCAATCAGTCCAGCATTGACAGCCTGTGTGTGCAGCTTTCCAGTGATGCCAGTGGAAGTCCAGGCACCAGTGCCAGTGAGGATTGCTTTGTGCAGCTGGGGGCTGGATCCCTGAGCGCCCAGAACTTTAGCAGATGCTTTCTGCCCAACGGCTCGTCTTTGATTGCAGCTCTCTGTGGCACTGACGCCTCTCTCCCGCCCCAGGGAGGCAGCTGGGCGGCAGAGTACTGCTCGCGAGTGCACCAGAATTCCTCCCGTTTCAACCTCACAGAGGAGACTTGTGAATACCAGAAATGGGAGCCGGGGTCGTTTAGAAACATCACCCTCCTGGAGCTGTGCCGGGGATCCAAGGGATTGAGGGAGCACATCTGCCACAACGTGTCCGTCTATCGTCAGCTTGTGTCATTTCCCTGGCTGGTAGATTACTGCTCTAACGTGGGTGTGAATCCAGGAGACGGCAAGTGCTTCCTGCAACAGATCCTGGACATGCTCCCTGCACCATATGATATTGACACTTCCCAAATATGTGTAAATCCCACTCCCTTCATCCTGGACGCTATCAGTAGGCTGAACCAGTGCGAGGGCCGTGGCGATGACCGTGTGAGCTGGCTGGGGGCAGTGAGCTACGTGCTCCGAGCGCTGGACTTTGTAGTAGGGCTGTCGGCGGGACTGGAAGAGGGAGAGAGGGAGGTACACCGGGGCTTAGGTCAGGCCATCCTGCTCTCCAGTCTGCTTGACAACACCTCTTTCTGGGCCACCCTTCGCCCCAATGCCTCCCTGAGTATGCTCCAGACTGTGGGCGTCTTTCTCGGGAAAGAGCAAAACCATTCCCTGAAGGAGGACCTTCTCAGCTGCTTTAGCGTAAGTGTGTCCAGCCCACAACCTACCCTGCAGAGCTCTGAGCTCCTCATTTAAGTAGCTCAATGGTTTTTGGATCTTTTTGTTCATAAAGGTGACAAAGAGCTCTTTGGCTTTTCTATTTCAAGGTCTTCAAGTTTGAGAATCAGTGCTTAGTCCAGTGTAATGTGTCGCTTGGGCTGGCCTGCATGGCTTTGCACTAATGTCACTGTGCTTGAGCCCTGGTGTTGTGTGATGTGGTTGTGTTGTACACAGTGCACAGTCTTGGCAGTTGTCTGAAAACTCTTACTCTCTTCTCTCCTTTCCTGTAAGCCTGTATTGTGGGACCTCATCCAGAGGGAAGACAATTCCTCTGCCCTCAGAGTCATCTTCCAGGTATCTTAGCCTACCCGTCTGTGTCGGATATTCTGTGCATATTTGCCTTCCTACCTGTTTCACCAGAAGATGCCTTTGCAAAATACGATACTGTCAGACATTTATCAAACACAATCTTTTCTCATATCAGCATCTATAATTAAGCAATAATACGTGATCATACATTTGAGAAAAGCCTGTGCAAAAGTTCTTGCAGCTCTGTGGTTTTGCCATGTTCATGTCAATCAGTACTTGTTTTTTAGCTTTACAGTCTATTCACTCAATCAGCATTACACATTTTTCACAGCTCAGTGGAAATATGTCACTCATTTGTCTTTCATTACCTTCGTTCAGTATTCGTTACATACTGAAACAACTATACCTGAAGATTAACAGTCTTGGACAGTTGCATCCCAGTGTGGTGATGAGCGTGTCGATCTATAGGATAATAAGGACTCTTTGTGTGTGTCCAGGAGTACCTGCAGATGCCACAGGAAAGCATCCGCACTCTGCTGATGTCGGCTGAAAACGATGCAGTCAAGAGATTCCTGTCCCATATGCACCAGAGCTGGAACCAGCTGCAGGTTCAGACCATTCAGGTACACGTGAGACACAATACAGTGACAGTAACGTCATTTCTAAAAAACTAGGAGCAAGATAACTGAATTAGAGAATCTAGAATGTTGTGAGTTTGAAACCTGACATCATACCAATTACCTGCTCCTTGTCAAAGATGTGCAGCCTTCAGTCCTCATTGTTATAATGAAAATGCCCCACTAGATACTTGAGAATGGAGTTTAAAAGAGTTCTAGGAGTGTTAGTTGTCAGTGGTGTGGAGCTATCTGAGGTTTTGAGAACAATGCATCCTGTGTTGACCTCTGACCTCTCACGGCTGCCTCAGGTCTCAGAGAGGGAGCAGCAGGCCATGGAGACAATGGCCTCCGCCTTCATCCACAAGTTCCCGCGTGTCACCCCTGACCTCTTTGTTGACCTCTCCCAGTTCATCCCGTTCATGTCCATCTCTGACATCATGAGCTTCCCAGCTTCCCTTCTGGTCAACGACAGTGTGTGAGTGAAGGCCTTGCGTTTGGTGAACATAAGCAGGTGTTTGAATGTAGGTGTGAAGGCTGTGATGGGTTTAATTGATTAAGACCTAGTGGCAGTAGTTTTAATAAAGCTTGTCCTCACTGTGGCTTCCAGTACTGCTGTATGTGTTAGACAGTCAAGATGGATTGAAATTAAAGATTACAGCTTTGGAAAAAAATGTGATGTATAGCATAATTGTTTTGCTGGACTTTAACAGAGAGATCTTGCCATAGGACCTTAATACTGATTAATACTGTATTAATGTTATATTAAATGGATTCTCATTGTATCTAAATCCACAGCTTACAAAACTACATAGTTACTTCAGCGATCACGTTTTTTCCTGGGTATGTGATTGTTACAATATATTAACACTCTGTCTGTCAGTGATCGGCAATACAAGGAGTTGTGGATAACATTGCACTGCTGTGTTTTTGAAGTATCAGGTAATCGTGACGTTGCTTTACAATCACATTTTCCCATGGTGTTGCAGGCTGACGGCTATCCGTGATCACAGCCCTGAGATGAAGTCTCCCCAGAAACGAGCTTTTGTCAAGAGGCTGCTGCAGTCTAACGTCTTGGGGGATGTCCCAGCATGGCCCCCCTACTTCCTGAGCTCCATCCTGCCACTCTTACCCCACCTGCCCCTCTGCCACTTCCAGCAGCTCACTGCCCAGCAGGTCAGGAAAGACAGGCCGAGAGAGGGTTTCCAATTTCCTACAGGCCCAGAAACACAATTGAAAACCCACTGCGAATGCTGGAAAGAAAATGTTTCATTTTGTGTCATTTTCAGTGCTCACAAGGCCAAAACAGGGTTGCTTTCTGCAACATCAATAATAATCAGTGCAGTGTTCATCAAAGCCTGTATTCACAGTCTATTTGCCTTTAAAGATTTAATGTTTTTTTTTTGCAAAACTCTTCATTGTGAATGATCTGGAGGGAGCAGACAGGTTTTTAGATGTCTGTCAGTACATGAAATAATTTTTCTTGAGATTAGGGAAAGCCTGCCTTTTTCCTTGGCAGCTCCAAATCTGGAATACAAGTGAAACACATAAACAGATAAAAGGACCCTTCAAATCTCAAGGGCCAATGATGGTCATTTCAGCACTAATCTGACAGGCCAGTACAGCAATTGTAAAACAAAGTGTGTCTAAACCTCCGAGTGTAGCCGGGAAAAAAAGACACTTGCTCCGAATAGCCAAACAAATGGCATTGTTTTGTTTGTTGGCAGCTGAGCCCCCTGGTAGAGGTGCTGGGGAACAGCAGTCTGGATGCCACAAGGGGGCGCCACCTCTTGCGCACAGTCTTCAACGAGAAGAGGGATCTGACCAGCGAGGATGTGAAAAGGTTTGGGTACAGACAGAATAGACTGTACAGAGCTCTGCTCTTATGTAGCTTCTGCCCTGCTTCTGATTTCATTTCAGTCTACAGTGTTACTGAATCATCACTGTTCCCTCCTTCAGTCGATTATGCAGTAGTGCTGGTGACAGAGCTGTTCTCCAGTGTGTTGCACTGTATTCCTCTAACCCTGCACCTCTCCCTGCGGCAGGCTTGGGGTGCTGGTGTGCTACATGAGCCCAGAAGAGCTGCGACCCCTCTTGCCCACCCAGCCCCTGGCCCGTACCCTGAGGGAGCGCCTGGCTCTGTGTATTTCTGAGGGGCTCACTAGCGCCTCCGGCAGGGTGAGAGAAGAGGTTCATAGTCTCCGTCTCTGCATTCATGTGTCCTGAGGCTGTCAAAATCCCTTCCCATTGTTACTACTGCCCGTAGCTCCACCTTGTCTGTCTCGTCACTTCTTTTCATCTGTTTTTTCCATCCTTCCCAGCCACTGCCCTTCCTCATTTTCCGCAGTTTGTTTCGAATTTTTCAAGACGTCTGTACGAGCTGACCTCCTCCGCTGCCTCTCTCCTCCAGCTGTCACACTGGCTGGCTTTGGCTCTTCAGCAGCTGAGCGCCAGCAGCCTCCCCCCGGCGGAGCTGGCTTCCCTGCGGGGTCTGCTGCCCCAGCTGGGAGCCTCTTTCCTGCGGCCGCTCCCTGTGACTCAGGTGCTTGACCTTGTGGGTCAGCCGGGGCTCCAGCCCTTCCCCCCAGCACAGGTAAGCCCGCAGCTTACATTGGGTAGGCCAGCAACTCCATCTCTTGAGATGCTGCACGTCTCTCCCTCTGCACTCCAGATAGAATTATCAATTCAACAGAGAATACTACTATGTGTGCGGGAGCAGTTTTGTTTTTATGCTGCCAGAGCTATTCTTTCTAGACATTTATGGCTGATTTTAATTCCATGTCTCGCTTATTTATTATTATTATTTGCAGGCCTATCAGGTACTGGGCGAAATAACGCAGAAGATAAATGTGAGTATTTACTCATTCTGTTGGGTCCGTCTTCGTTGCGTTTCTCGTGGTGCCCTGGCGGCTGCTGACCGGGGGCCCCTGCTCTGTGTCCCCAGCTCTCTGCGGCCGGCCTGTGCAGGCTCCGGCCCCTGCTCCCGGGGATCAGCCCCCTCGCTCTGCGATCCCTGGCCGGCCGGGGCTTCCCCGGGGAGGAGTCCTGCCTCTGCCAGGGCTCCCTGCTGTCCGAGCTTGGGCCTGCCCTCAGAGCCCTGCTGCTGGACTCGCTGCCGGTGCGCTCCCCGCCTGCCTGTCTCGCACCGCTCTGTCGCCGCGCCGCGTTCCTCACCTTCCCCTGCCCCCCTGCCCCCCTGCCCGAGGAGACCTCTTTCTTTGCCGATCGATCGGGATTTATGATTTGTGTGTGTTTTTTGTAATACTGTATCTACTCCTGGCACAGAACTGAATTAAATCAGTTCGCCGTAATGAGCAATTTCAGCCCCCGAGTAAGCTACAGTGCAGGAGCAACACAGCTTTGTAAAGTTTCAGAAACCATTTGTGATTTTACTATGTCTATTGCATGGCTTATTTCCATGTTTCTCACACCTAGTACCATGCTTTACCTCGCTGTGCTTTCACAGTGATCTCACTGCCTCAACTCCATTTACTCCATACGTACCTGAGTATACCATAGTAAACCGTCTTTTTACTGCGCATACTCGGTAGCCAAAAGCCTGCTGCCTGTGCCGGCAGGTCCTGGGCAACGTTTCCGAGAGCCTGTCCCCGTGGTCTCGCTGCCTCGTGCCTCTCCTGCCCCTGAGGAAGCTGCCTCTGGAAGGAGCTGCAGTCCTGAGAGACGTTTACCTCTACAGACAACTGCCCTGGTCCTCACAGCAGGTGGGTCTGTCAACCCCAGCCCCCCTAATCTGATGCCTTGTCCCACGGGTTTGCAAGAGGGTGGTTTCTGAGAACCGGATCTGCTGGTGTGGTTGACAAGAGCAGCTAGACCACTATTCCTTGCACTGGCACTATGTGAGATGCCAACCTATCAATGTCACAGCACTGTCTTGCAGACTGATGTCAGCAGCTTGATCTCAAGCCACTGTGAGATGTGAATGGCATTTGAACCCTTTTTAGTTTTTAGTGACATTTGAATGGTGACTGAATTGTCCTCTAGTGCCTAACTCTTCTCATCACATTTTCTGACAAAATGATTGCAGTGGATTGTAGGTTTGAAGAGTGAAATGCTTACCATAATTTTGCTACAAGAGACATGCTTAAAAGATCCACCCTGCCCTCCCTTTCTGTTCTCAGGCTCAGTTCCTTTTCAAAAAGATCCTTCAGACTACTAATATCACAGGAGCGACCATCGCGTAAGTAAAGCCTTCTGTCTCCACCAGGTTTTGGCCAGTGTCGGTGTCAATACAGGGATCTCTCAACTAGAGGACCTCGCTGCCTGTAAATCATATTCCTTCTGTTGAGTTTGTCCTCTAATTCCTCTAGTAGGCAAGAAGTGTTTCTGTGCTGTATGTTGTTCTTTGTAATAGAAGTACAATTGCAGTAGATGCAGTGAATGTAGCAATCAGAGTTGTTGGGCAAACACGTATATAATTACCTTGTTTGCGTGGGTCATGAAACCCTCCAAAAGATTCAGTCCGTTTCTGTTCTTGGTTTGCTGTGACCTGACTCCTGAATGACCTTGGATGTTTTACATTTTTAAAGAGGAACACAGGTCCTGAGTGTGTCAGTGTGTGGTATTCTGTGTTGTCCTCTCTGTTGCATCTCTGTGACAACATTTGCCTTTAGAAACCTGGGTCGCATTGCTGGTGGGATGAGCTGTGACTGGCTCAGGCTCTGGGCCAATCAGTCAGATTTTTCGAAACTGCTGCAATTGGTCAGTGGGCTCCCAGGAGGCGTGAGACCAGCTCTGGTAAGAAGTACTGAGACAGTCAAGTAGTCATAAAATTAAATGTACTTATACACCCGGCTCTTTACAGCATCCTTCACCAAAACCCTTTACAACATAAATCACCTGCACTGTTTAATGGCTTTACATCTTATTACCAAGTAACTGCTCATCTATAGTTTATTTATTTTGGTACTGTTGCCTAAATTCCAGTTCACATTAAAATGTTATTATGCTGAATAGATCAAAGACACTTTCAAAATCCTTTCAAAATTCTTTTCATATTTCCTTTAAGACTTATTTTTTGTAAATGCAAGTGTTTCATTAAGGCTTAATTTTTGTAAATACGAGCACCTACTTTACATTTTACTCAGAGATATCTGATTATCATCATCCAGGCGGCACTTTGCTAAATACCTTCAAAGCTCTGCTTTGTAGAAATTGTTGCTGATAGCTCCTTATTTTCTGTGATTCTTCAGGTTTAAAAAGGCTTCAGTTTTTACAAAGCCAGGCAATAGCAGTCAGGCTTCACAGCAGTGCTTAAATTAGATGCACCCACAGGGAGATGCCATTGTAGCTTTGTCATCTCATATTTCTCAATCATCTTTGTGTCCTAGAGAAAATGTGTCATTGAGGAGCTTCTGAAAAGACCAGAAACGGATCTGCGCATCCTGTCCCCAGAGTTCTCTTCCAGCTTACCGTAAGGAAGGATGCCTTTTTTCACGAACTGCCAAGCATGATCAGAAACTCTGGCTATCCTACAATCTATCTGTAAACTTTGTTCAGCACACCGCACAAGTGCACACGTGACGGCAGCTATAGTGCACCAGTACACTCACCACACACCAGCTCTCAGTGGGGAGGAGAGCAGAGTGATGAATCCAGTTCAGAGATGAGGATTATGGCCATGATTTGTAAAGGCCAATGGGAAATTCAGCCAGGATGCTGGGGTTACACCCCTACTCTCTTCGAGAAACACCCTGGGATTTTTAATGACCACAGAGAGTCAGAACCTAGGTTTTCCGTCTTATACAAAGGGAAGGACAGAGCCTTTTTACAGTATAGGGTCCCCGTCACTATACTGGGAAATTAGGAGCCACACAGACTGCAGGATGAGCGCCCCCTACTGGCCCCTCTAACACCTCTTTCAGCAGCAACCTCAGCTTTTCCAGGAGGTCTCCCATCCAGGGACTGACCAGGCTCACACCTGCTGAGCTTCAGTGGGCTGCCAGTTGTGAGATGCAGGGTGATATGGCTGCTGTCATATCATAGAATGTCTTGAGCCCTGAGCACTAGCTTACATCTGGCACATCCCTTACAGGTTTGGGCTTCCAAGTTGTCTTTGTGGTCGTGCCTCAAACAGCTTACTCCCCATTGTCAGCTGCTACATCACTGCTGTCTCCCAGGGTGAAGATGATTGAGAGCCTCTCCAACGCCTCGCTCTTGGCCATCCTGGAGCATGTCAGACAGCACTTCACTGACTTCCTCAGGCTGTCCCCCCACAAACGGACTGCCCTGGCAGAGAAGGCACTCTCTGTCCTGGTGAGTGCACTGCCCCTTGCCTTACACTCAGAGCTCAGTGCTGGAATTGTTTAAGTTTGGGCTGTGATGTCCAATCTGATGGGTGCAATTAAATTAATTACTAATCCATACAAGATGCAGTTTGTTTGTTTCTAATCCTTCACCACATAGCACCGCATTGTGGCATCGTCTAATTATTCTAACTCACAATGTTCAATTCCAGTTCACACTTTATTATTATCTCCAAAAGGAAATGTGTTTTATAACAAAGACCCACCTGAACAATACAACAAAACCAAAAAAGGTCACGACAAACTGTCCCAGACTGGATAAACGATTTCCTAGATATTTAACTCCAGACAGAAGGCATTGCACTGTTCAATAAAATCATTTAGAATGGGCCCCTTGGCAATATCCTGAGTTGCTTAACAAGCTCCTGTCATCTGCAAATCTGTGTGTTTTCTCTTCTAATCAGTCATGTGCAAAATGTTCAGTAAAGGGGACAAGACACACACATGGTGATCCAATAGGACAGCAATGTATAGCAGATAACCACTTCCCTACTTGTACCTGTTTGTTCAAGAATCTAAAACCCTGAGGGCCAGGAAGAGTAGCTCAGTTTCTCACCCTCAGGGAAGAGTGGGACATAGTCAGCCACTTGGGCATTTGCTGTCTGTCTCCGCAGGGCATCTCCCAGGAGGGGGAAATCTCAGGGGCCTCTCTGGACCTCATGGGCCCCCTGTTCCCCTTCCTGGGCAGTGCAGCGGTGGGACAGGTGGAGAGGGGGGCACTGAGGCTGCGGCTGGATGAGCTGAAAGGGTACTGCTTGCCTCCGGAGGTGCTGCAGGAGATCGCCCGAGTCCTGACGGAGAGAGACATGCTGGGGTGAGGAAGCATCTTCCTGGATGCCCTCGTGCATGTGCCATCTAGTACACAGCGCCCAGACGTGCTTTTGGAAGGGTCATTTTGCTTCTGATACAGTGTGCTGACTGGCCTCCTGCTCAGTGTTTCTCCAGAGGCAGGGAAAGGCTCTCACCAGGAGCTGTCTTTGGGCTGTTTGAGAACAATTCGGCTTTGACTATGGATTCACTAATCCGATAATACTTATAGTTAAGGTCAGCTCCTTCCCAATTACTCTCGTACAAGACAGAGAACTGTAAGTCATTAGATAGTACATCTGGCAGTGATGTGGTGTGAGAAAAAGTATTTTTTTCTTCTTCAAAGATTTAGAGAACAGTAGTTCCTAATTTCTTTTGTAACAGTTAATCCCAGAATAAAAATGATGCAGAATCTGTCTTTATATGTTCTAGGAAAGGGCTGTGATGTTTCTGATTTTATGTAGCTGGTGTGCTGTTAGACATAACAGTGGTGACGACACCTGTTGAGTCCCTCAACTCCTGGTGCTTAGTGATAATTCCCACATCACTGTTAGACAGTTGCTGCGGCCTTAACTGCAACCAAAATATCTATCTTGTTAGGGCTACCACTAAGTAGTAAAGTGTTCCATTTGCAGAGGGACATATAGCCAGACTGCAATATGTCAGTGCATAAACTATATCAGCTTGAACAGACATGTTTTCTTTCTACAATATCTCTATGATTAGAGTAGTTCAAGTAGGTAGCTGCGTCAGCATGCACAGGCTGCAAAGGAACAAGTGAAGGTTTATTCCCTGCTGAAAAGAGAAGAAAAGAAACACAAGGTTTCAGCTGTGGAGCCTTCTTTGGCTGTGTATTTGTATTTCTTTCATGTGTTCAGCATGGAATAAACCTTTACTTGTATCTCTGTGATTAGTCTCCTTTTCCCCTTTTGTTTGGGTTTTCTGATCTGTTTTTTTGAGGATGGGAGTTCTCTTCTTTTGGTGGTCGTGACTTTTTCCTTCTTTCTTTGAACAAAAAAACAGACATTTGGGGGAAAGAAAGAAAGCATGGTCTCGAGAATAAACTGTGACTGCACTGGTTACTGCTTGGCATGAGATTGTGAGTTTTTTGGGGTGTAGAAAATTAGGTCCTGTGTGCCTTCTAATGCAATCAGACATTCAATGATAAAAGAAGGCCCACTAACCAGCAGCCATATAACCTTTAACAAAACCTGACCCTTGTTCCTCTTGCCCTGTTTCAGTAGTGAGCCGAGCTGCTAGATGTGTCACCAAACTGGTGCTTCTGATTTTCTCACGCTTGCCTCATCAAAGTGTCTTAGCAAGCAGAGAGATAGGCTGGTGCTCACTTTCACTGTGCTGCAGTACTGAGGCAGAGCACCAGTCAGTCCGCTGTGCGTTTGTGTGTCGCAGTGAGCCGGCGCTCTGGACCCTGAAGGAGATGGAGCACGCGGGCTGGCTGCTGCTAGCTCTCTCTTCTCAAGACATCGGCACCCTGCCTGTGGTGAGGAAACTGCTGAGCCCTTAAGCCCTTACGCCTCGCCAGCCTGGAGCTGGCATCTCAATGCCCCTGTGCTTATTTCTGTCTCTTTGGAGGCTAACAGCTTTTACAATGCATTATACAGTATATTATATAATACCTTCTGTAAGCGTGTGATTTTGGCCTTTGGTTTTCCTTATTTTTGTTGATGGCGGGTAGGTGCATGGTTTCAGCTTTCATTTTGTCTTTCCGTATGCTATCTCACTTTAAACTGAACACACACTTTTGTTGGTGTGTTTTAGCATGCTTGTTAAGTCTAAACAAGTTCAGACTTTCACTTTCCCCCAGTTCACTTGCAAACAGATATTACCCTGGAAAGTCAGTTTCCAGCAATATCTGTTACAACAATAAGCCAAAAAAAGCCACTGTACAGGCAGTGCTGGATTTCCCATGAGACACTGTAGGTACAGTGCCTAGGGCCTACAAAAGTTTTAAGGCCTACGAAGGAGGGAAACACTAGTGACTAACGAAAAACTAGCTGAAACTACATGCTTGCGATCGACTCTAGATGCTCCAAATCAATAATCACATGCTATCTAGCGGCACTTCTATAAACTGAAAGTGTCGAAGTGATGGTTGTCTCGACTCGCTCCATCAATCACAAGGTTTAGGATTGGAATAGTGTAAAGTGGATTATTCAATTGGTTTTTACTCCTCTTTTTGCACAATTTGGAGTGAAAGTGCCAAGGGCTACAAACACCAAAACCCGGCCCTGTGTACAACTGCCCAGTTTTATTTCTCTGGGTCTCAACAAGCAGTAGCTGGGTTCATTGCCCTCTCCTGATACTCCCGAAAGCGAGCTGCCAGATGTGGTACAGTGTGCTGGAGCTGGGCTGTGCTGTGTGTGTCTCTCAGGACCTGCTGAGCCTCGACTCGGTGGAGCAGGTGCTGGAGAGCCTGGGGCGCTGGCAGAGCAGTGAGGTGGGCCGTGCCTGTGACGCGCCCCGAGGAGACAGGGAGAAGAGAGATGGTCTCGTTCACAGGGTTGTTGGGGGCGGGGACAGGAGAAAGAGAGGTGAGTCGCCAGCAGCTATTGCTTTAAACAGCAGAAACAGGAAGAAGTCAGGCAGGAGGCCGGGGAGATGGGGAGCTCACCTCTGTCACAGAATATTCTGAAACTGCAGCTAATGACGCAGCAGTGACCCTGGAAGTTATCAGTGGACGTGGCCATTGATGACCTACTGTACCTATTACATGTGTGGAGCTAGCACACGGCTGTTTAGGCCATGTTTGGTTGGCCAATGAGATCTGAGATCAAACCTGCGTCAATCTAACCTAAGCTGCATGTCCTCAGACTGTGAAGGAACCAAACCACATCCTGAGAAAAAAATCATGGCCACAGGAGCACCTCTAAGCTCTATACAGAAGAGGCTTCCTGAGGTCATAATAAAACCCAGGCTGTGTAAGACAGCTGTGGTAATTGCCATACTCCTGTGCCACTGCCATTGATAATTAGAGCAATTGATAGCTTTAGAAAATGTGACGCTTTAATACAATAATATCAGACTTAATATCTGATAAATATTGACTTGACTTAATAAGTAATACGTCAAAAGGCACGGATCGCAGTTTGTTAGCCTTCTGTATGACTGTCTTCTTGCTGGTCAGTGTGTCCCTGCTGGTCGGTTTCAGTCCGAAACCCTCTCCGACTGCTGTGTTTCGGTCACAGAGCCCATCCCAAGCTGTGCGGACATCAAGGGAACATTCCCTTCTGCCTGGAGCGCGGCCCAGCTCAGCCGGATGGAGGAGGGGGAGATGCTGCAGTGTGTTGAAGCTCTGGGCCAGGACAGGGAGCTCAGTTCTGAGCAGCGCCGCGCAATCTGGACACGCATGAGACAGGTGAGTCGTGAAGCACAGCAGCACAGCAACAGAGGGGGACAGACCGCTTCTTTCTTCAGATATATGACATATTAAAACTACTTTGCTTAGGGCACGTATTTTGCATAAGTTATTACATTAGGTCTTTTTTATCACAGAATTTGTCTCTTCCATTCAGCATCGTTTCACTGGCTACTGAGGCTTTGGAGAAATGATGAATGGGTTATCTCCTTTCACATTTCAGGCATACGACCACAAAGCCATCAGGCCAGAGGAGATCTTGCAGCTGGGCTGTATAGTGACCGAGCTGAGTGAGAGGGACCTGCAGGACATTAACCTGGCCAACCTGAGGATCTTGGCCCATCTGGGAGCAATGAGAGAATGGAGTCCAAAGAAGGTTTCTTAATTCAAGCTGGCTGTTTCAGTCTTTGCTTTGGCATTTGTAACTCCTTTCTTGTAGACTCTTGTCAGAGTTATAGTTAATGCTAAGTCCCAGGCAGGTATCAGAAACCAAGATCTTTTTATAATCAAAAATCTGTTTCTGTGATTTTAGACAATCCCAAACATGGATCTGGTGAAATTTTACTCTTATATTTCTGCCACACTTCCACAGAAGTGTGTGGTGGTTTTGCAGGAATCTGAATTGGCTGAGTGTTCGAAGCTATGAGAGGGGTTACACCTGTGTGAGCCTTCCAATCAGCTGGCACTTGTGTTTTTCAGATGAGGGCGGCTGCGCTGAGCTTCCTGCGCCACAGTGCGCTGAAGGTGGAGGAGCTGGGCATGGCTGAGCTGGCATCTCTGGGGCACCTGCTCTGCGGACTGACTCCTTCCGAACTGAGCCGTCTCGACCCCCAAGCTCTGAGGTCAGACAGAGGGCAGGGCACCAAAGGCACAAAGCAGTCGAGGCAGCTTAAGAGGGAACTTTTAAGTATTTCTTATGGCAAACGTGTCCTGTTCACTTTCCTACCGCTTATGAAGTCCTGGAAAGGAAAACAGAAGGCCATGTGTTACGGAAAAACAAAAACAAAAAATCAGCTAAATTAAAAAATCAAGCTGTGGACTAATTTATGTACTTCTCTTTGGCTTAGGTCTGCATTAGCAGTAAAAGATTTATTTTATATTATATTTTTATAATGTATTTTTGTAATAATTCAAAATGGTTTGATTTTGAGCCTGCCCCACAAATATAGATTAAATTAATAAATAAACTAAACAATTATGTATGCAACGATAGTGCTGAAGTCAAACTTGACAAAAACAGAACATTTAACCTGTAGTTTCTTTAATTAACATTTCTTGATTACCTAAATTAAAGTAAAGAGGTTTAACAATTTAGAGCATTTTGATTATTGTATTTTTAGCTTAAACAGTAGTTAAACTGCTCTGAAGTGTAAAAACTACTGTTTTAACAAAGTAACTACTGTAACAACCTGTCTTTCAGTATTTTGATATCCAATATTTCTTCTATTCTGCAACATATTTTAGAACAAAACAAGAAGTTATTTCTGTATGTTAACAAAAATGTATTTTTATTACTTGATAAAACCAAGATTTCTTTTTGAAGTGTCCTTTAATCTTGGTGCCCTTCTTGATTACAATATTTCCAAGCACATTTTCATGTCTGATGCATACTCTTTCTCTCTCCCCTTCTTGTCTGACACCCCTTCTCTC